TTCTCTGTCTGTAATCCAGTAATGAGTATGTACCATTGGGGGATTATTAGGGAGATAAATTTGTGGACTCTCCTAAAAGATTGGGGTTACAGCAGGGCCACAATGTAGAAGTCAGTTGTATTCAAAAGTTACTTTTCATAATGTAGTTTGCAAAATATGGCCCTAATATTTAATCTAGAAAGATTACTACTACCCTATCTGCATGTAGTAGAATAGCAGAAAAGATTTTCCCCCTGCCCAATATAAACCTAGCAAGATATGACCTCTGTCCCTATTTCAGAATATTTGGACAGCAAATAAACTATTACCCTTAGATTTTATACTATTTTTTTCTGATAAACAGCAACAAATCTGAAAAACACTTGTGCCCAGAAGTGTACTTGGAGCAGGTATGAACTATGCACAAGAAATATACACATATTTTTCAAAAATAACTCATCAACACTCTGTTTTGTCCTTTGTAAATATGTTCCATATATTCAGTTTTCAGATTATTATAATGTTGTCTAGTTACTCTTAAAATTATATATAGAATAATACTCTCTATATAGAGAGAATGCTAGATAGATTGATAGACAGACAGATAATAGATTTCTATAAGAACTATGAAATGCTTCTACCAAAATATAGCAATAGGAGGTTTTGTTAAGAAATGTCAAGAATAGTAAGCAGATTTTGCAAGGAGTTGACAAGCACATCCTGGTAATGGCTTAAACATGTGATGAATCCTTTTCATCTTGCAAAATATGTACTTCTTTTTTTAGCATTAATTTCATTTCCTGTTCAGAAAGTTTTGTATGATAACTAAGCATTATTTGAGTCTTTGATGGTTTATGTAGTATCACTTTCCGAAAGTTGAGTAAAAATAAATTCAATGTTGCTGTAACATTACGGTAATTTCTCATTTCTTGGATGAGCTAATTAAAGCACGTAGCAATTGGTGTGATCATATCTGCAGTTTCACACACGTGGCTCTCAGACAGATATATCACAGAGGTTAATATCAAGTCATCCTGAACAATACGTTAATTTAAATAAGAATTTTATTTAGAAATGAAACGGGTAACCTTATTTGGAAAGTTCTGCAGCTGCATTACTAAAGTGACAGTATAAAGGTAAAAACATATAATAGTGGAATCCTAATCTTTCAATCACTTTTTTTAAAGAAATTCATTTTCATATATAATCTCTCTAGGTTACAGTAAGCATCTTTGATCAGCATATCTGAAAACCCTAAGGATAATTTTAAAATGTTCCCATTTATAGTTTAAAAACATTTCCCAATATTTCCAGGTTAAGTATTCCAAGGATGACATTTTCCTTTTTATTTTTAATTTACCTATTTAAGGTGCCTTGCGAAGCAGAATTGTATCTATCCACCTTTCTGCCTCCCTACCTACCTGTCTTGAGATTCTTAAACATCCACTTCCATTTGATCATACATGTAGATAAGGGTCAGGTATTAGACAAAACGTTAATAAAATAACTGACAAAGGTCATCAGATTTGACTGAATCTATCCTTTGCTATAAAGTTGTTCAAAGTGTTTTGATATTTTTTTCAGCTAAAGCAGTTTCTAAAACTTTTAAATGCTACCAGATTCAGTGAATTATGTGTCTTAGTTTTTTTAAGGACAAACCTTGCACCTCACAATAAGAACTAAATCACTTCCTTTGCTGGATCATTTTATATGCATTAGACAATATAATAGGTTCAGAATTTATTATGAATGTTTATTCAGCTTTTTAAAAATTTATTTTGACTAAAAACACTGACTAACCAGGTATTGCCTAAAAACACTGATTAACTGGACATTGCTGTTAAATATAATCATAATACACACACACACTTACACACTAAATCTGTTTTCATCCTAGCCAGCACTATCTAGAAAGGTTGTAATTTATATTTTAACAGATTTTGCATTTTGAAAGATGTAGAAGGTCACATAGAAGGATTTTTTGGTAGGTATGGAAGGACTTATCTCCCAACAATCTAACAGTGACAATTATGGAACTTAAACTGCTAAAATACAGAAAGTTTGGAGTAACCTGCAGTCAGTTTCTTGTATGTTAGTCAATTCTATACTGAAAATCAACAGATCAGCTCAATATGTTCCCAAAAGCAACCTGTCTTTAATTTCTAACTTAAATGTCTTTCGCATTTAGCCCTGGTTTGGGATTTTGAATTCTGCCTATCCTTATTGTAAACTGGAAAAATCATTCTGCCAAATATTGCCAGGGCAAACAGCAGCTCCGAGAGAGATGAATAAAAGGGGATTGTACCCCAAAACCCGTGGATATAGGCATCCGGTAGGATCCACAATGATGTCATGCATACCATGATATCATCATGCAAATGACAGAGATTATGTAATTTTCTTCTGTAGTATCAGGACACATCACTTGCCCCCTTGCAGATGTCCATGCTTATGGGTTTTCCCATCCCTTTATTTATATGGGCAGTTCTTCCAAACAAGCCAAATCATTCAGAAATGACTGCTATCTTTCCACCTAGAAACTCTTTTAACAGATACCGTGACCGTAATATTCTCAGGTAGAAGTAATAATAGGAAGATTTCATAACTGACTGTTTTTTCTCCCTTGCCCCCTGCCATGCATAACTTGGATTATGAATCTCTTGGCTAAAAAACTGTTTATCTGTGTAAGTATTAAAGGCTTACTATCTCGGGGATCAGAAAGAAAAAAACATGGAAGGAGAAGCTTTCAAAGAGACATCTTATTCCAAACCATTGGGCTTTGTATCCAGACAGAATAAGAAATACTGACAAAAATCTGAGTGACGTTGCATTATTCTGTCATATTTATAGCGTGGAATATAAGAAGAAAGAATTCTCAGGTTCCAGCAATTTCTCTTAAATGGAAATTTATTCCAATTAACTAGTGAAAGCCCTGGGAACAGCAGGAAAGTACAAGTAATCTCTGGGTTAAGAATGCATGGTTTAAGGATGACCCATAGTTAAGAACACAGCCTATTGTAGCAAAATTTGAGTTAAATACCCAGTGGTTCAAGTTCATTACACAATGTTACTTACACAGTATTATACATTAATACTCTTCCGGCTTACATACAAATTCGACTTAAAGACAGACGTTGGGAACAGAACTCGTTCATAACCTGCGGACTACCTGTATAAGCAAGCAAGAGCTTGTTTTAACCAATGACTTAAACAAGTTTCATCTTAAAACGGCACTGAAAGGAGCAATTCTAAACATGCTTGTTTCAAATCAGTGTGGTTAGCTTCCATGTGAATGGGATGAAGTGTGGGCAGTGTCTTTCACATTTGGATGCTCATTTAAAGTACTGACAGTCTTGACTCACTATCATCCTTGATCTCTACTCGCTTTCCCCAGAAATAGTCAAATGATTATATAGGTTGCAGACTCATTAAGGCAACCATCTCATCTCAGATTGGGGATGGGAATTACAACCAGTAACTTATGTTGCTGAGAACAAATGCACTATTTTTATGGCATGAGCACAGCAAAAGAGTTTTGAGTTCAAATCAATCTCTCTCTCTTTCTCTCTCTCTCTCTCTGTGTCTCTCTCATTGTTCTTGCTTTGTTTGTTTGTCTATACATTGCATTTATATTCTGCCTGTGCTCTGAGAACTCAAGATGGCTTCTTTCTCCCCCCCCCCCCCCCCTCCTTTGGGGTGCCTTTGAGTCTGTCTTTGATTCCCAAACAAGTCCATGCAATTTTCTTGGCAATATTTTTCAAAGTGGCTTGCCATTGCCTTCTTTCCAGGTCTGAGAGCGCGCAACTGGCCCAAAACCACCTAATTGGCCTAGAACATGGGTTTCCCTGCAGCTAGTCCAGCACCTTAAGCATTAGACCAAACTGGCTGTCTTCAAGATGGCATCCAAGGTGATATTTCCTAATTTTGTTTCCTTAAAAACAATAACCCTGAGAGCTAGGTTGACCTGAGCCTGGCCCAAAGTCACCCAGTGAGCTGTTTGAGTGAGGTCTTATTCCAGCACCCATAGATATAGAGAGTAATTTGAGAGTAGGTTGTTTTTTTAATTTCCCCCTCCCCCATTATACATGTCCACATGTTATCGCAGATGTCAAGCCTGATTTGAGGTAGCCTTGACTTAGTAGTAAAAGAAGTTCATTTTACCACATTTCAGCATTTATTGAAAGAAACCATTTCATTTCTGTTTCATTTTGCACACATTTGTCCTCCTATGCACCACCTGGCAGAAATGGATGTGTTTGTATCATGATTTTTGCAATTGGGAGACCACCAACCCTTCTACTCATCTTAGGAAACCTACTTTCACCATGTCCTTTATAAAACTGGGAGCCACACTCACAATACAAGCCAACTGAATGAGCAGTGTAATTACTGAGATTACCTTTTATATTTCTTGGGCATGTTACTAATATAGCTCAAATAATGATTACAAAAAGTCAAAGAGTTAGGGGGTTCAGCATGCAAGGGAAGTGTGTTAGGTCCACTTCACTAATAATCCAGGATGTTGAAGCCATGACTTGACCATGAGAACTATGCAGTTGGTTCCCCCTCTCCTTGAGTAATGAAAGAAAAAATATATTAATGGGACAAATGAAACTGGAAAAAGATTAGCTTGATGTAATAAGTAATATAGTCAGCATGGAAGCACATGTTGCTTTATAGTGACATTGTCTGCTTTTGCTTTTAGCTTCCACCTCACTCCATGGTATGGTTAATATAGTCTTATCTCAAGAGTTTGTGCATTCCCCAGGGGGAAAAAAACTACCTCCATTTTGGATGGTTCAGATACATGTAAGGAAAATCACATCTTCTGGTTCTCCACCTGTAACATAATTAACTGAAGTATCTCTAATCTGAAAAAAATATATGTTTAGCTCTTCAAATGCCATCATTCAAAATATAAGCTATACAGGTAGGTGATTGGAATTGGCAACTGGAATTTAAGCTCTGAGACTGTTGTTTTATATTTTTAAGCCCTAAGAAATGATGTTACTTTCTTGCAGTTCAGAAAATGAAAATGGAACAGAAGAAAAGAAGAAATCTGGAAAAACAGGCTCTGGAGTCTCACAGATATCACCTAATGAGGCTGACTATTTTGAAGACCAGAAAAAAGTTGCAACTGCACGGTAATAAAGAATCCAGCTAGACGAAACTTTTAGATTAGATAAATGGTTAAATCTCTGTTAAAGAAAAATGACAACCTATTTTGTGAAAGTTAGAGACCTTTGAATTCATCCATATAAGTATATACAGTATCTCTGATCAGAATAAACTTTGAACCAGTCTCTCTCTTATGTAAAACCTGGCTTTCCATTTTATATTAGTCTCTTGCAGTGGCCGGGTCCCCAGCCCAAACGGCATCTGTGCAAGTCCAGCCGCCACATCCCTGTGTGTGCCTGACTAATTTGCAGATGCCAAGCACGGAATGTGCAAGTGCAGAGGGGCTGTAAGTAAGTTAACCTGTATGCACTTACACATTTCCCCTAATTGTGTACAGGCTCTTGCCCTTCTTATTTCTCAAATACCTGATTTTAAGTCTTTTGATGACATACATTTGGAATTGTGAATAGTCCTATATATAAATGCACTGATTCCTCTTCTCTTTCTTAGAACAGCAAAACCAAAGTGATGGTTGGAAAATGAAATAGTGCCATTTGAAACTAGAGACAAGTGCTGGGATTTTGCCAGTTTCCAAAATTGCAGCAAAATTACATTAAGAGGGCAGTTCCCAGGCTTTGGAGGCTAACTAGCACATTTTGAGAGTGTGACATGGGCTCTCAAAGAGCTCTAGCAGCCTCCTTTTTATTTTCTAAGAATGCCTCTGAGTCTACATGGGGTTCAGGAGCATTTTTGGAAATAAAGATGATGCAATGTTTTGTTTGCCCATATGTCACAGTGCAATTTATATTTCCTTCCTTTTTCCCTATCTTTCTATATATCCCTGTTCCCTATAGTTACCACTTGGAGAGTGATGTATTTTTTTTCCCCCTACTTGACATATGTACCCAACTCTGCTTTGGGGCAGAACTGAAGTTTTTGCCATTCTTTACTAGCATATTTGAAAAGATGGGACTTTTCTCAACTAATTAGAGGTTAGGAAAAGATTTAGTCAAATGACATGAGAAGAATGTTGCCAGTGAGAAGGGTGGACTCCTCAGTCATATTCTGGGCTGTGTCACAATGTTCAGTCTGCTCAGGGAGCTGTATGTGAGGTCTGTGCAAAGCTTCAAAGAGGTGCTTTGCTCTGTTGAAGGTTCACGCAAAGCACCCCTTCAAAGTAGTGGGGTTCCCTCACTTGTGAAAGCAAAGAGATGAAGTTCCTTCACTTCTGGTGTTCCAAGGCCTCTTTGACCAGTTTTTGTGACACCTCCAGTAGCCAGAGGAGGCTTCTGTGAATGCAAAATACAGTGAAGGTGGTAAGATGATGCAAAACTCAAAAAAAAAAAAGGAGGAAAATTCTGTCATTACTACACATTAACTGCACATTAACAAGGTAAATTGTGTTGATGTGTAAGGCATAGCACTTTGTTGAGGCAAATTTGGACAGAACCCTCACATTTTCTTAACCTCCAGAAATGTGATTTTTAGTTCCCAGAATTCTCAGCAATGGCCATGTTGGCTGGGGAGCTCAAGGAACTCAAGAAAGTCCAGGTAGGGGAATGCTGATATAGGCTTCATTATACTGCCATGTAGATCCTGTACAATGTGTGAGATACATGACTGAGTAGACAGATCTATATCTGTGATACTAAGCATCCAGTTTAAGGTATTTGTCTAGAATAGAAGCTTTGATGAAAGGCTTAACTAGCAGAGCTATTGCAGGTTTCTTTATTAGGGTAAAAAGGCAACACATTTTTCCTCAGTGAAGCACACTGCATTGCCTTGCAGCCTACTTGTTGTCTCTTACCTCCTCCACGGACCTTTCTCCATTACTTTCAAGAGCTGAAAGAGGCTTCTGCTCCTATACAACCAGAGAAAGCTGCAGAGCGCTGAAGTAGCAAAACCATGAAGGTCATTCTCTTCTCACTCAGAAGCAAGAAATCCACATTGTTTCATAAGTATCTTTGAGAGCATGCTTTACTCAGATCTCCATCCAACCTTGCTGAGCTTTTTAAAGTGAAAAAAACTATCCTTTAGGAAATGAGAATTATGTAACATGGTATTTCCTTTAGGTCAAAGACAATTGTGGATAATAGTTTCTTGACGTTCGATGGCAAGAATGACTCAAAGGCTGAAAGGAAGAAGCATACTTCAAACCAGGTACTGAGAAATGGCTGTTTGATATTTGAAATGTTGAAGACTCTGATTGTGGTAGGGCAACAAAAGTATTGCAAAAGATCAGGCTGGAATAGTAAGTCAGTGCTGAAATACCAATTTTTCCCATCTACCCCACAATTCTGCTTTGTTGAGTAAGGAGGCTGGGCGTTTGGAATCCGTAAGAGCTGATCCTAAGACCCACTTTACCCTCTGAACTGGTTCACACATTAAGCTAAACCATGATCTGTTTAACAATTAAACCAAGAGTTTGATACAGGGGTGCTATGTAGCCCACTTGGTCTGGTTCACATGGACCAGTTTTTAAATGCAAAACATTCCATGCTTCCTCCTTTTCTCTCATTCCCCCTTTGTGTCCCACGTTCTCCAGCTTTTCTTGGTTCCAAGCAATAGTGCATGGTGTGATGCTAAATCACCCCAGCTGTCCCCATGGTGAAAGAAAGACAGAGGCAGCTGGTCTTCACTTGGCTTCTGATGGAGCGTCACTGAGCAGGCAGGCTGGATATGGGAAAAGATTGTGCTATGTAAGGGAGGAGAGGGACAACTGGGCCCCTCGATCTGCTCCTGTGCGTTCCACAACGGCTCTTTCAAGGACTCTGCAGTTTTAACAGAGACCGATATAGATCTTGTCCAGCATTTTCCAGTGTCACTTGATGACATTTATATATCCCAAGATATTTGGCTCCATTTGTTGGTGCTATCGGAGGAAAGGTCATGAAGGATGCAGGATGTTTTTGTACTCTTGCTCTTTATTAAAGTTAGGGTAAAATGGGGCTTTCTTTTTCATTAACAGCTGCGCTAGTGTTGACTTTTGTGCCTTGGTAGCCATTAGTGCTGCATGGCTTTTGCATAATTAGCGTATCACCTGGATTACCTGTGGCACGGGCATTGAGTGCAATAACAGACAGTGGCTTATAATGCATATGGATAGACTCAGTCAACACTGTTGATTTCTTTAAGAGACTACAATAGGCAGGCTGTATGTGCTTACAACCACGAACAGGCCAAGAGATATGCTAGTGTCCCACTGGTTCATGCCTTACGTTAAGATATGTGTTTTTGAATTAGCATGTTGCATGAAGTCAACCAATCATTACAGTTCATACTACATCATTTGTTTAGATATTATGTGATCCTAGGCAAGGGTGGTTTGTTAGGCAAACTATGGCTTGCGACAGTCAGGGTGGTGATGGGAATTCAAGAAAGGGGGCCAATCAGGAGCGCAGATGCATTCAGCATTTGCCCTTCCCCAGTGCAAAGGTAGTGCATGTTATGTAAAGAGCTGCTTATGGCATGAAACTCTGGGGCCTGAGGTTGGTGTAACCAAGAGCTGTTGGAGCAATGCATGTCTGCATACACATACCAAACAAGCCTATACTAGTACTAATACGCCAGTGTGCATACAATAAAGGCTGTGTTCATGAATTATCATCAGAACGAGATGATGCCTAATTTTAATATCCCTGGATTACTCTTCACTGAATAAGCCTCAGTTGGCTAAGTTTACTCAATATGGTAAGCCGTTTACCATCGCTAATAAAACACAATGACTGGTTTACACAATATGCTAAGCAAAAACAAAATAAATCCCTGTGATGCTGACTCCATCCAGATATAACTAAGTCCAGGACCATCAAATAATTAAAGGACTTAATAAGCTTATTGATTCCCATCCTCTTGTCCCAGCATAATGAACCACTTGAGGAACTACAGCAATATGCCTTGCTGTTCTCTTAGTGTAGAAGAAAGACTCTTATGCGCTTAAGTACAGTTTGTTGTATGTGTGTGTTTTATGTATAAACACTGTGCCAACCCTGGAAAATAACTGATCAAAATAATTCTACCAGTACACACAGAAGGTGAGTTTCTTTTAGATGGGTAATCTCTGTTTCCAGCATGGGTCCCATTGGCTGGAACAAACTTACCATTCTAGAATATCAGATTCTGATCTTGACTGGTGGAGGAGGAGGTCAAAAAAGTCAAGATGGCAGCTGCAGCCACACCATCAAAGCCCTGCCCTTTTTGTGTGTGTCTCACTTGCCTACTGATTTGTTCATTCTGTTTTTGAGAAGTATGTGCACTCAGTACGGCATAGTTCCAATTCTTTCCATCTGCTGCTGAAAAAGTGTTCACAGGATTTAATAATAACCTAGGCAAATAAGGCTGAGGACAATTACAGTAATATAGCAATAACCAAATTCTCTGATTCTTTGCTTTAGTTTAAGGCTAACGCTCATTTTCACAAGCTGTTTCTGGATGTCCCAATTGATGAGCCTTTGAGACAAAGTAAGTGGAATGCCATTTTTATGTTGTACTTTTGTAAGTTATGTTTTCTACAGGTAGTCCTCACTTAGCAACTGCCTTGGATAGCAACCATACAAATAGGATGGTAATAAACAGTAATAAAAAATCCATTTTCCCACCAGTGCTGGCATTTAGGACAACAAAAGCCTTCAGTGTGAAACTGATTAAGGTCTGGTCAGTTTCAGGCAGCAGCTGCCAACTTGCAGATTAAGATCACAGAGCTGAGCTTGTTAACTTGTGGTTCCCACTTTTTAGGGACCTGCTGAGCTGAGGAGAAAAGCAGCTCAGGAAGAGACAGCTTGTTTAAGCAATCTCTTCACCCTGCCAGGTGGCAAAAAAGGGGGGAAAAAACAAGTCAGGCACAGAACACTGTATGAGAGAACTTTATCTGAATGAGAAGGCAGCAACCAGTGATCTTCACAGCATCTCTCTCTCTCTGTCAGATGGCTCACTTAACAACCATTTTGCCTAGCGACCCTTTTGCCAGAACCAACTACACTGACTACATGAAGAATACCTGTACTATTTTTTCCAGAACTTGTGCTATTAGGATTATGGAGGTTTTTCTTTATTGCCAGTTATAGTGGCTTCCTTTTTGGCATACACATGCACACAATACTGTTCTGCTTCATAGCACATTCTAATTGTCAGTTTGCTTTCCATGTAAAATCCCAATATGGGTAGTCCTCATTCAGTGACTGACTCATTTAGCAACTGTTTACAGTTACAATGGTGATAAAAAAGTAACTTTGCAACCAATCCTTGCATTTATGACCTTCGCAGGTCTATAAAGCAAAGGAAAGCTGAAATAAGAGCATAAGCACAGTCACAGTTTCACTCAGTGACCACTTCACTTAACGACTGGGTTGCTGGTCCCAATTGTGGTTGCTAAACAAGGACTACTTGTATTTAGTACTGAGTAGCTTTTTCTACTCAATACTCAATATTTATATATCGAAATGTAGGTTCTGAGAAAACTAGGATATTGTTCCAGACTTTTTAATCTTTGCAAATGGTTTTCCCCCAACAGTAATACCCTTTGTATTTGCTATATTTGCTTTAAGAAATTTATCTTACATATGTAGTGTGTGTTAGATACATTGCCTGCCCAGCTGTACATATTCCCCAGTTAGATAACATTATGCATGCAACCTTTGTAGATTTCACCTGCGCCTTACAGAAAGAAATTGTGTACCAAGGGAAGCTGTTCATATCAGAGAACTGGATTTGCTTCCATTCCAAAGTCTTTGGCAAAGACACCAAGGTAAGTAATCATAGCTTATGGTGCATTAAATTCCATGAGGCATGCCTAATTTTTATTTAATAGGTAGAGGGATGATAGTGCAAATGCTAATGCAACGTGGCATATGTACTGTGTAAGTAGAAAATCAGAAAACTTTGTAGCATGTGAGCTATTAAAAGGATTACAGTAAAACTGTTGTTATTGGCTGTTCAACCAATATTTTCAGTTCAAAATACCCACTGTGTAGAGGCAAAATGCTAAGAAAGCCGCAAGCTTTACTTCATTTATAAATTGAAGTTGCACTAGCAATGGAACACGATAAAACTCAGGATGTGGCCTAGTTAATGTGTGTTACTTACTTTGTAACAAACTGTGGTTAAATCCTGGCTTAGCATTATGTGAGGATACAATTTATATTTGCTTCTAAGCAAATCTCACTTTCTCCAGTGAGATTTACTCTCAGAGAAGTGCTCAGCTAATTGCATTTTTAAAAGTCCTTTCCTTCATGGCAAGAAGTTTTTGAACTATTTATTTGGTTATAACATTGTCAGGAGGATAACAAATACATGCAGTGCTTCCCATCTGTATATAACTAAAATGTGACTTAGCTGAATATTTTGCAGTGTTAGAATACTGTTTATTATAAAAAAAAATTGCCAACAACTCCTTTTTATGACATTTTAAATCAATCTGCCTCTATTTCCTAATGGTTAGCATTGTTGTAACTGTATTTTTGAGTGAAATGGATGTCACAACACAAAGTAGTGGGACTGCATGTGTTAAAAACATTAATGTTTTTGTCAAGTTTTAAATGATAGATACCAAAACAGGCAATGCGTATCAAAAATTGTTTGCAGGCCTATTGCATTCATTACAGATGGAAACGTAATAATGTTGAGCCTCCTGAAAATCACTGCCATCTATTTTACATGTTTTATTATTTTTGTCACAACATAATGTAGGCAACAAATTGGCACTCAAATTAGCTTAACTCTAAAAAGATAGCTGTCTGGCTTTATCTGAAAGTATCTAGGTATAAGCACAGCAGAAATTACTTTATAAGTAGTATTATTCGCTTCTTTGAAGTAGGCTTGCTGCATAACCATCAATATTGTTGGTTAAGTTGACATCTTCATGTTGTAATAATCACTATGCTTTCATTTTAGATTAGCATACCTGTGTTATCCGTAACACTAATAAAGAAGACTAAAACTGCCCTTTTAGTGCCAAATGCTCTCATTATAGCTACAGTCTCGGATAGGGTAAGTTCATATTTTATTTACTATATTATTTTGTTGTTTGTATTTCTATATCCCATGTTCTGGGAGTATAATTGGGAGGGGAAACTGTTGTGGAGACCACAGACTGGCTGAGGACTATATGAACCACAAATTATATATTCCTGTTTTATAGTTATTCTCTTCTGTTCTGCACTTCTTCAGAATATCGTTCCCAAATATGGGAAATGGTACTGAGTGTGATTAAATAATAAATAAGAAAAAACATTCTTAATATATCTTGTCGAAGCAGATCTTGCTCAGGTAGAAATGTGCTAAATTGATGAAGGTTTTGGCACCAAGTAACAGTCCAGAGAGCCTTTTATAAACTTGAATTATGAAAGGCAGATGATTAAAAAGCAACTGAGTGTGTGAGATGCATGTGGTGTGTAGAGACGTCAGATCCTTAAGTAGTTGTTAAGGAGATATACTTTAGTAAAAATAATAGGAAAGGCAAGCTCAAGCAGTCTTCCCTGGTTTTAAATAATATTTGTTGGTGGTTTTCTTTACAGTACATGTTCATCTCTTTTCTGTCCAGAGACACTGTTTACAAACTATTAAAATCTGTTTGTGCTCATCTAGAGGTAAGTAAACCTTTCTTCAGATACAGATAGTCCTCGCTTAGTGACCACAATTGGGACTGGCAACTCTGTCATTAAGTTACCCAGTTGCTAAGCGAGACATCATGTGACCATGACAGGCTTACAACCTCACTTCTACTGTGGTTGCTAAACGAATCACTCGCGGTTGTTAAGTGAGACATCACATGACCGCTACTTCCAATTTTACTGCCAGCTTCTCCATTGACTGTGCTTGTCAGAAGCTGGTTGTGAAGCATGCAAATGGCAATCACATGATTGCAAGATGCTGTGATGGTCATAAATGCCTGCTGGTTGTGAAGTGCCTGAATCTCGATCACATGACTGCAGGGATGTTGCAACAGTTATAAGTGTGAGGACTGGTCATAAAGTTACTTTTTCAGCACTGTGTTGTAACTTTGAATGGCCCCTAAACAGGGCAGTCATTAAGCGAGGTCTACCTGTATGTCTGTGAGTATTCCTAGTATTACTTAGTTAATCCTACTGCAACTGTGTAATTTTTAAAATTGGACATTTCAGGATGTGAACAACAGTCCTAATCCTTCTTCCCTAGAAAGTAGTTTCAGAGCTGAACGGCCTACAACATTACCTCTGGTAAGTTTATTTTTGAACAGAAAAACATTTTTGGTGGAGAACTACAATAGAAATAGCTTTTTAAAAAAAGAAAAGAAAAATGCTTTATTAATTTTATTTATGTACTAGAACTTCTATGCCACTCAGTTTTTGAAGGCTCTGAGTGACTTACATCCAGCAATAACAACTCAATAACTATCAAAATATATCAGCAGACATCTACTGGATGTCCTATTCAGTGTGGGTAGGTTAATTCTCATTGTCCCCAAACACTTTCCTGAATAGCTTCACAGCTCTTTGGAAGCACAGCAGAGAAGGGGTGGTGTGGATATCCAGGGGCAAGTTGTTTCACAGAAAGGGACCATCAGTGAGACATCTCAGTTACTGGATCCCTATAGATGGCATTACTTTAATGGAGGGACTCTTAACAAACTTTCTCCCCAGCTATTACTGGATGGGCAGATTCAACCTGAGAAGGTGGTTTCAAGGATATCCAAGCACTAAGCCATGAAGAACATGTTGCAATATTCAGCCGTTAGATGACAAAGGCATGAATTATTATGTATAACAGCTCCTGATATAGAAAAGGGTACAACTGATGTACATGATGTAATTCTGCAAAGACCCTCCTGGCCACCACCTCCACCTGCTGATCAAGCAGGAGCTTTGAGTCTAAGAGAACACCAAGTTACAAGCCAGTTCCATTTTGAAGTCTGTGATTCTGACCAGTTAAAATTGAGCTATCCCCATATTCAGTTCTCTTTCAGATCTACAGCCAGACCATCTTTTAGCCTCAGATTGAGGCTGTTTTTCCTCATCCAGACTCTAATAACCTCCAGGCACCAGGTTAGAGCTTCTACCACATCCCCAAAGTGGAGATGTATAGCCACGTATCCCACACTTACTGATAATACCTCACCCCATGCCAATGAATGACTTTTCATAGAATATACTAGAATAATTTCTTCTGCTATCATAATTATACTGTATGCTGAATAATGTTATATAAGAAAATCAGGGATGATGAGGATAAGGTAGAAAGAGTCTCAAGCCACCTACAGCAAGTAAAATTTAGAAGAAACTTCAGAGGCTCTTATTACAACTTTAGACCAATAATAGCTTGTCATAACCTGCAGAGACTGCTGTTAGTTTTAATGTAGATTTGGGGACTTTAAAATAAAATTAGATGTACTTTTTTACTTTTTTATTTTTTTCAAAGGTGGGAAAACCATGCCAACAATTTTAGTGTGAATCTTGAGAGCTTGTAGAATGGGGGAAGGAAGTATGTTAGCCTTGCTGTGCATAGAAGACTGTATGTGAATTCATATGTAACATACCGAATATTTTTTTTTCTGTGTTAAATGGAACATAGATGATCCCTTGCTGTATGCTTTCATTAACTGAACTAATAAGGCTTTATATATTTTGGTACTGTGGATGTTGTCTTGTGTAGTTAAGCTACTTCTGCAAATTATTCAAGCTCTTTAAATATAAGTTCCTTCATATCTGAGTTCCTTCATATCTTCAAGCCTGAAGTTTTGTTCCTTCTAAGGCTTTGCAACCTCATACATTAAACACAAAAAAGCTGCAGTTTACCTCACATGGTGGGATAATCTTTAGCAACTGCATAGACGAATCTCCCTACAACTTCAGTTAAGCAATGTTTTTTGTTCATTGTATTCATTGTACTTTCTGATGGTAGCTATGTGAATCTGTTAATATAAAACAATGAGCATCTTGTAGTACTTCAAAACTAATGAATTTATTATTACACAAGCTAACATGAACTAAAGTCTACTTACCCTCAGTTATCTGTATGTGTAAACACATTCATACACACAAACACATAGTTGGGAAAAAATAAGATTAAATAACACCTGCACAGCTGTTCAGGCTCTAATATTCCTTCCCATCAATTCCAAAGTTGAAAGAGAAATTATATTATCTGCTAACTAGATTATTTGAAATAATATGGCTTGATGACAATCAATTGTTGACATTTATGGAACTGGAAGCTTAGTCTTCTATATACAGTCTTAATGTTCTACCCATTGGCCTAAGATACAGTCTGGCTGCAATTGCAGAAACAGGGCTGCACAACATTTTTCAGGCTGAAGGCTACCCTGGCCTTTGTGTGCTGGAGGACACACAACTAGAAGTAGATGGAGTCAGGAAAAAAACTAAGCAAATGTAATTAATTCATTTTCTTTTATTTCTAACATATTAAAAATACAATTTGATAACTACTTTTAGAGGAGGTTTTGGGGATGGAGTCCTGAAGCCTGAAGTTGTTGTATCCCTGATGTACATATGTAGCTAAAAGCAAGCTTCACTGTTTTATGGAGCTCATATCTGAGTAGACATAGGTAGATCTGTACTGAGAACATTCTTATTGTCATGGTTTTCAATGTTGAGGCCACAGAGGAAAATAACGAATTGATGCTTAATATTTAATTGGCATTTCTGATACATTGACCCTTTCCAGGAATTCAGTAATGCTTTCTCTGAATTGGGTGGCATCATACAGAGACGCAGACAGGAGATGGAAGAATCCAGCAGCACTGGTTCTCAAACCCCAGAATTGGAACACTTTCAAGGTTTGCATTTAAAATGTGTTTGGATACTTCTCAACTATCCAAACACATCCTTTTCGTCTAGACATTTGGAACACTTCAGCAAAGAACGGGGAATGCAAACATTGTTTAGATGTAACAAAATACTTTACTGGCTTTTATTGGTCTCAAAACTATTCAAATGGCTTACTTTTGCTTTTAATATAATCTTCTTCTTCTCCAACAGATTACCATGAGTCTGAGAACCAGTCTCATTTCAAAAGTTCCAAGACAGAGATGAAAGCAGTCCATAAAGATGTACAGTCTAAATGTACATGTGATGATCAAATCAGGAATGTTTCAGGAAACAGTAAGTAAATCAAATTCACATTTGTGGTTAGTTGTTAGGGTTGAACTCCTTCCACAAGCAGGAAGTGTCAGCTCACAGAAGAGTTTTTGGACATTTTGGGCTAGAACACAGTGGGTGAACTTTGAATAAAAATGTATGCATTTCCACTTGAATAAGAACTTATGTACATAGGGCCCATCCACACAGCAGTGCCAGTGTGCTTTCCTCCCATCCTTGAGATGGAAAGACAGTATATCAGTACAAAAAGTGCTTGTCCCCATATACTACTCTTACTGCGCCTCAGCAACAAGACTGGCAAGTTTTGCTGCTCATGCATCACACAGTGATTTTCATTCCATTCCACCCAGAATCAACCCTTCTGTCTCTTTCTTCAGCTTTCCTGCCCTTAGCCATTGCCAGGTCTTGTTGTTATCTGCTTTGCCTGTTAGTTTTTTTTGTGTACTGGCCATGTAATACTTTGCCTTTTATTATTATTAGCAGCAGCAGCAGTAGTAGTAGTAGTAGTAGTTGTAGTACTGGTTTTTAAAAGTATTTTGATGTGTCTGGTTATTTAATTTGTTTCTGAAGTACAGTTCTCTAGGTCGAAGAGAAATGATAACGTATGTGGATCTATATGGAAAATGTAGAAGAAAGGCAAGAACGAGACATTGGGGAAAGGATGCCTAATTTATAGCTGTGAGAATAACATAAAAGGGACTGTGTCTTCCCATGTAGTCTCCCAATTTCCTTTGCTTTATAGCAGGGAGTCTGCATATGCCTGCAGATCAATTTCTTAACCACAGAGCATGATTGTAGCCTTGAGTATTTCTGGAATTCCTTTCTTTGCCTCATTATTCTGAACATATTTCCATTCGGATCAGTTTACATTTTAGAATGCATCTCCCATATGGTGAGAGAACATGATCTGGCTGATATATTAATCACATATTTAAGCTGTAAATTTTAATCAAGGCTTTCTGAGGTATAAAAGTGTCCAGTGCCAATAACATTACTGTAAGCAATGGGCTCAGTTGATTTATAAATACTGTGTTCATGCCACAGAGTAGACAAAGCTAGTTAACCTTCATTAAGCAACATTAAACCATAACCTGCATTAACATACTTATTTAACGTATTTCATAGATAAGGAGAAAAAGAACAGTCAATTTGAATCTTCTTGTTATTTTGTATTTCTAGTCTCCTACTATGTGTTTAGCCATCGTCTTTTCAAAGGCTAGGTTAATTTTTCTTTTTATCTCAGTTTCCCCAGGAATCCTTGGATCTTTCTACAGAATGAATTTTCAGGTGTTTTTGTCGGTGACTCATGTACTCATTGTCTATGCAGTTCTGTAAGTATGTAGAACCCATTTCCTTAAATTACAAAGCTAAGTATAAGGCCGAGGGCATCTTTCCTGGGATATATTTCGAAAGTTGGATATGCAGCGGCTAAATAAATGGTTTACGAATTTCTTTTTCTTACTTGCTGCACACAAATAAAGATCTGAATATGTTCAACAATAAAAGTTTCCAATGGGGAAAATGGAGGGAGAAAAATGTGATCTGTCTAAATTCCTCTGAGTTGTGTTATATGGATAACAGGCTTATGTAGTTTCCAAAAGCATTTTGCCAGACTCCTGGAGGTAACTGAAAAGAAGATTGATAGATATTTTCAAGGTTTATGGGCAGAGCAGAGCAGCCAGCAACATTACAAACCAAGCAGCAGATAAGGGGATTGGTGAAGCAGGCCAATTTACTGAGGAAACCCTGTTGAATAGGGCAAGAATATGTGTCAATCCACTCACTGCTGGAGCAGTCAGGAGCTCAGCCCACCAAAATTTGCTTTCCTTGTTGGTCACCGAGAGCCTTTCTCTTTCCCTCTTAAGGAGCGATATCTCCAACCTCCTTCTGAATGTCTGTTTACGCAGCTGAGCTGAGCAGTCTAAAGTTAAAGCACATCAGCGCAGGATTTGACAAAGCCCTACTAACATTATCTGGCTAATTTAGTGTAACAGGAGCTTTGATGTTGAAATAGGTTTCTTGATGAGTTCTTCTTATGTAGGCAGTCACTTGTTTATGTTTGTGTTTCTTTCTCTTCCACATCTCTCTTGCAGTGTTTTTATCCTCATTTGTTCTACATTCTATATGCGATATAAAGTTCATATTTTGGAAGAGCAACTTGTATCCGTGGCTTCTATTGTGGATCCACATATGAATGAGTAAGATTGCATTTTGTTGGAATGTTGTGTTCTTTGTATTCTTTTCTACTGAGTATTCTTCACTATCCTTCCTGGAGGTACTTTTATCAGCACTCTCTCTATGTTATTTCATATTATAGAAACTCTTTCCCCCCCCCTCCTTTTTTTTTTCAAATAAACTTAAAAACAAGAAGGATAATGTGGACTAACTCAGAATCAGACTAGTCCAACATCCTCTTCTCACAGTGGCCAAATATAAGCACGGCATGAGAACTTGAGAAATACACTGCTTGTGATTCTACAGGTCAGTCATCATGACTAATAAGTTTTCTAAGAAATCTTTGGAGAGAGACTTTATCAAAAGTCTGAAAGTCCAAGCATGTAATATCTAACTGATCAACCATATTGACTTTCTTATGTCATTCTGACCTTTTCTGGTGCTTATTCTTTAACAAGGCTTGCTCTTTCAGATGCTCGATGCTTATTTTATTTTATTTTATTTTATTTATTTTTTTGACTTATTTAGCTACCCATCTCACATATGTGACTCTGGGCAGCCTACAATGAAATAGATAAAACAAATAAAATACATAATAGTCAGTCACTCATGCCCTAGTCATCTCCCGTATAGATTATTGCAATGCGCTTACATGGGGCTACCTTTGAAGAGTACCCAGAAGCTACAGCTGGTTCAAAATGGTTTCTAGCCTGATGCCTTAACCACTGCACCAAACTGGCTCTCTTAGATTGTATCATATTGATGATTATATCATACTGATGATACTTGACCCCAAATTGGCAGATGACCTCACCCAGCAGTTTCATGTAGTTGTTAAACAGAAGGGGAGAGAAAGTCAAATCCTGCAGCACCCCACAAGTAAGGGGCCATGGGTGTAATCTCTCCCCACTTGTCAACACCAATTGAAACTGGACACAGAGAATGGAGGAGAACCACTGTAAAATGGTCACTCCCACCACCAATCCCTGAAGCCATTCCAAAAGGATACTGTGATCCACAGTATTGAAAGCCACAGAGAGATCACTTGGATGGATACACAACCCCCATCCTGGGTCCACCATATGTCATCAGCAAGCTTTACTAATGCTGTCTCCATATTAAGCCTGGCCTGAAACCTTAAATTGATCCATATAATCTGCTTCCTCTAGGGTCTAAAAAAGGAAGGTGGGAGACTGGACAGTAATTGTCCAGGACCATTGGGGCCAGAGATGACTTCCTGAAGAGAGGGCATACCACAGCCTTCAAGGCTGACGGGACCATCCCCTCACTTCAAGAAGTGGCATCACTGCATGGACCAAACCACAGGTCACCTCCCATGCAGCTTTAACCATCCAGGAGGAACCTGGATCTCACAAGCAGGTGGTTGAGCTTACAGACTGAGGAACCGTCTCCACTTCCTCAGGAGTCAAAGAATCAACTTGTTCCATATAACCCTATAAGACTTTGCTTCAAGGAGTTCAACTGGGCCTGTCCTGTCAGAACCCAACTCTGAGCAGATATAAGTGACTTTATCTGCCAGACAGCAAGAATATGTTTCACAGCAGCCCTGCAGATGGTTCTACAGCCTGTCCCTCCCCAGAAGGGACAAGGTTGCCTTAAACAGCTACCAGCAGACACAATAAGAGCAGAGAAATAACAGCATTTCACCACCCTTATCACCACACTGTAATCCCTAATATAGATTCTTGCTCAGATTCTTTCTACAAACATTTATTACTATAGAGGTCAAGGAATCAGTTCACAGAATAGGAAACAACAGCTGTTCTTTGTCCAAGCTGTTATTAAAGCTCTTTAATGGTGTTGCTAGATTTTTATTTGCTGTTGCTCCTATGCCTTTAATAAGAGATTTTCCCACAAAAATTTAGCAGGTGGATACTTTTTTTAGCATGGAGACAAAGTGATGGAAATGCTCTTTGCTGAATTTCTGCAAAAAAGTCTGCTACTGGAATTATAGGACCGTTAAAATGTCTTAGAAATACTAAATTCTGTGAAGAATCTAGTTGTACCCTGATTGTGCAGACCCTTATATGGTTTTAGTGTAATGCTAACAAACCCTATGCAAAAAAAAAAAAAAACCCAGATCACAATAACCAAAGTAAATGTATGTTAAATTGCCATTTTCTTCAGGCTGCCATTTTCATGCAACAGCTTCAGTGTGCTTATAAATGAATATTCACATTCTTATAAATGGCACCTTCAGGCAATCATTTTCAGGCTATATGCTTAACAGCCCTGGCATATTCCTAAAAATATAAGTTTAAACCTTTATTACAGTGACAGACTAAAATACAATGGAACAACTGTATAGAACCCATAATTTACAATAAAAACCACTATTAGTAGGAGACCTTAATGTCCACCATAAGTACCAGCATACTCTAATCAGTCTTTAAATTGGTGCCTAGAGTAATAAGTAGAGAGCAAAACTTAGCAATGGACTGTGATGTTTAGGTCTTGGTTATCCAAAAGATAACTAGCATAGAATTTACAGAATATCCAGGAATATTGGCTTCTTAAAATTATCTTTCTAAAAGATACAGTAAAGCACAGTATATGCTAGAGTTTCAGTGGCATCTCAGACAGAAAGGCAGGTTCTGTTGTTATAGAGGATGTTCTTGAATCTGCCTTTTACTACTTGTGAAGAAAGAATATTAAATTGGGTGAGTGTAAACATTCTGTGATATTTAGAGAGAGTTTGCTGCTCAAAGTACTTTGCTGATTTAGAACTAGAGTCAAGGTTGCCATCCACAATATTTGTGAGGCAGATACCAAATTCTGTCCAATTGTTAACATCTGTCATTCTTTGGTTTGGTACAGTCTTTGCTTACTTATAGCCAGTTCTTTCAACAATCTTACCTTTCCAAGGGGATATAAAAGTGACAGTGAGTATCAAGGGACTGAGACCCTGTAAAAGTCATCTTTAGGCAGCAATCTAAGCTATTAATCTATGGTCTGATCTTTGCTTGAGTAAAGCAACTTCTGTATGAAGGACCACGCTGAAGATCCAGCTGGGTACCTGAAACAATTTTCTCAAAAATTTGGACTTGATTATGTGCCGTCAAGTCAACATTGATTCTTAGCAACCTCATAGATAGATTTTCTCCATGACGATCTTTCTCTAATCTGTTCTTTCAGGTCTTCCAACAGTGGTTATTTTAACTTACAAAGGGTAAATAGAAGTGGAACAAGGATACATCCTTGTTTAATTCCTTTCCTAGTGAACTATTCCTGAGACAGATCTACTTAGTTTGTATGAATTGGCCCTAACCTTTTCTCTTCTGCAAGTGAGCCTATATCATGGTTGCCTTCAAGAATACGTCAAGATCAAAACAAATATTATGACATTGCTGGTAGAGGTCTTATATCATGAAGTTGCTATTCTCAGTGTAAATCAGGGTAAAGGAATAAATTTGCCTTTTCAGTTGTGTACCTGTTTATTCTCATTATTTAGATTTTTAATTTATTCCATTTGTAATTATCTGCTGTCTCATTTTCTCTACCCATATTCTCTGTTTCAGACATCCAATACAAGGTGGCTTGGGATATAATCTAAAATTTAATGTTGACGGTCTGTATGCAGAGCTAGCAGCTAATCTTATCAAACTAGAAAAGGTAACTGGAGAGAATTGCTAGACTACAGAAAGTAATTATAAAGCCCTGGAAAAATTGTGGGGAATATGCATGAACATAGAGATGGAGCTCAGATTTATTGGGGTTAGGTATCTTTCAAATGGATAAGTACAAAAGAGGGCAGAGCACTGACATCTTTCATAGTTATGTAAAAGATATTTTGATAGGGGTGGCTTGCATGAAAAGCCACACAATGAAGAATGCTACTAAAATTTGTACTGCCCTGATGCATTCTACCTCTTCGTCTGCCATGATAACTATCCATGCTGGAAATCTACCTGTAAAAATGTAGGAGAACATTTGTCATGCATTTGGGTTACAGAATTTAACATCATACCCCCCCACAACCCCCTTTTTTTCCAGTGGTTCAGTGGCCTGCTTTATGTAAATTTGCTTTATGTGATGTTTTCGGAATGTAACCTTAGCTTAAAGTGAGGGAATTCTGTATAAACAATCAATTCATTTCTACAGAGCAAACTAGGTGCCTATTTTCTGCCCTTCTTTACTTTTGTTTCCAAGCAATCTTGCCATTCCATAGGACAAGCCTTGCTCAGGACTCTTTGCTGTTGAACACAGTTTGTCTAGTTGTCTGTTTTATGCAGATAGTATCTGTTCTGGTACATTTTGTAGCTGCTAAAGTTAGTGGACAATTGAATGATGTTTAAAATCAGAAAGGTCCTGATTATTTGGATAAATTAAACCACAACCCTGTACCCAATTTCCAGGATACAAGTATTACTGAATTCAGTGAAATTTACTTTTGAGTAGATATGTATGGAATAATGCTAGTAATCCCTCCAGTGTGATTATTTACTTCGTTCGTTCGTTCATTCATTCATTCATTCATTCATTCATTCATTCATTCAAATGGTTAGATTTTCCTCGGCAAAGATAGTTTTATTCTGCAGATAGTTTGCTTCTTTTCCTGTATTCAAGAAATTGTGGAAGTTAAATGATAGCCCAGTTCCCATGGAAACCGTGATTTGATAGCTTTTTTTAAAATCAAACACTTAAAAGAGCAATGAACCTGTAATGTGTTTTTACTAGACACAATAGAAAGCTCGTCCCAAGTTTTATAATTAAAGAGTAGGTTGTTTTGACACTTTTTACCTGACTACCAGTGTTATTAAAAGAAAAAAGCAATAGTGTATTTAGAACTGAATACCAAAATTTAAGAACATTTTCTAGAAGATTCTCCTCCTCCCCAACTGTCCCAATTAGGGAAATCTCCCCACAAAAAAATTTAATTCTTTTAGATTATGTCTGTCCCCATATACCAATAAAATTCTGATCCCAGAAACAGTAACTCTTCTTCACAGGCTTTTGAAAATATCCAGTTAAAGCATTTTAGGCCTCTTCAGTTAATCTACTGTTCAGGTCAGCTCATACATAGTCTTACTTGCATAATGTCCCTTCAGCTGCTGCAGACTCATATGAGCATCTACTGTCAACCTGACAAGCCAATGATACGATTCATAGCATTCTTTGTAATGATGAAGTCACTTTTTTTCCAAATGTTGCAATAAGACACCTTCTTCATAGGCTGAAAACACACATTGTACTAAGTCCTAGTTTATTTTCATCGTGGCTTGTTGAACATGGCAAGGTTCACACATAACACTAAGTGATAACTCCTGGTTTACAAACTAAGTCAATGTGTCATGATGAAGGAAAACAAACAAGTCACTTTATGATGCGTGAACCAGGTTAATGCATTTCCTAGAGACAGGTAAGGACTATTGGTTTAAATCGCTTTTGTAGAATTAATAGGCTAGACATATCAATAATTTAAAAAATGTAATCAGTCTTATGAATTTACCTGGACTGAGTCACAGTGAAAGAAAGTTCTCCAGTCTAGGTATGATGCCCATTGAACAGTTCATCTCTTGTCCCTGTAGCAGCTAGTTTTATCTGTATAATGTTTCTGTATTTCTTTTTCTTTCCAAGATACAAAGCAATTTACAAAAGCTACTTGAAGACAGTAAGTGAACTGCCTGTTGCCTTTGGATTACTTCATTCGCACCTCCTTTTTTCTCAAGATAAGCAATTCTAAAGATAACATTGGGCTTAGCCAACCAGGTTATGTGTACTTAAGCTCAATCCAAAATTGCTTCACAGCTCTTGTACTTGTGCAATAGCATGTGTTTTCTCAGAGGACAATCTGTCTTTGCTGTCTACACTGGTATATGATGGATAACTGAGAGGATCGATCTCATACATTATTATTATATTGCTTAAATCTACTGTAATTCCATTCTGTTCTATTTTGTTCCTTTTAGACTTAAGTTGGTATGAGTAATATACAATTTGCTGTGAACCATGCCTGGAAAGCTTTACAGCTTGTATATGCTTGTATCTGAAAGTATAGTACACTCTAGTTTCTTCAGGTTTTTTCTTTTTTCCTTCCCAGACAGGTAGGAAAGTCTTCATATATCCAGCATGGCATTAGCTGGACTCTATAAGCTTAATTTTGTGAATTAGTTAGCGTTTTGCTTTGATCAAGTTCTTTCTGGTTGGAGCCATCATATTCCTACAGAGTTGCCAAACGAAATCTGTTCTGCATGCTAAACTGCAGTTACATATATTAGGAAATTGAAGCTTTTCCTGTTTGGCACAGGATCGTGTATGCACACATGCACGTACACTTACACCCAGAAAACCCTCAGTTGCTAAAGCTTTCTGTCATGTCCAGTTACAATTAAAGCAGATCAGAAGGCTTTTACAATGAAGGTTTGACAATCCTAATTCCATAGAGTTGGCCCAGATCATGTTAATAACACACTGAGTCATGTGAAATACATCAGACCTTTTGTGCGTGGGTGTGCGCGCGTGCCTTTGAGTCAGTGTTGACTCCTGGCAACTGCCTGGACTAGTCCCTGCTGTTTTCTTGGCAAGATTTCAGAAGTGGGTTGCCATTG